GGGAGGGGACACCGGGGGGGACATCCCGGATTTTGGGGACACCACGGGGAGGTCCCTGGGGACACCAGGGCCATGGGGACATTCGTGGGGACATCTCTGCCTTGGGGACATCCCTGAGGACACCGTGGGGACGTCACAGCTTTGGGGACGCCCCTGGTGACACCGAGACTTTGGGGACATCACGGTCACCATGACCGTGACCTTGTGGCCCCGGGGACACCTTGGGGACATCCCGGGGACATCCCTGGCCGGGCACTAGGCCCAAGCGCACTCCCCGTTACCACGGCAACCCCAGCGCGGCGCGGCCGCCATCTTGACTCCGGGCATCTTCCCGCCAACAACTTCCGCCCTCTCAGCCAATCACAACCTGCCGTGTTATCCACGTGACTCCCGGTAGCCGAGCTCAGAGTTGCCGCCGCTATGGACCCTACCGGAGTCCCTGAGGCCTCAGGGGCCTCAGCAGCATTGGCGACACCCCTGGGGACATTTTGGGGACAATCCGGGCAGTCACGAGGCCGCTGGACCTTCCCGTTGCCATGGAAACAACAACAACGCCGCGGCCGCCATCTTAACGCGTGGCACAGCCGCCATCTTAACTCCGGGCACAACTTCCGCCCTCTCAGCCAATCGCAACCTTCGGTGTTACCCACGTGACACCCCCCAGGTAGCCGAACCCGGAAGTGCAGCCGCCGCCATGGACCCCGCCGCTCCCCGTGAGTTTCGCGCGGTGCCGTGAGGGAATTTCGGGTTTTAAGCCTTTTCCGAATTAACTTTTCGGTTTTTTTTTTTAGCCCCGAAACGCCGCGGCCCCGCTCGCTTGGCCGATCCGCGGCCTCTCTTCGAGGACACGAGCGCTACCGGGGCTTCACCGGGCCGCGGTTTCGGGGCCCCGCCGCCGCCTTCGGCCTCGCCTTCCTCCTCCTCTTCGTCGTCGCCGCCGTTCCCCGGGGCCGGGGCGTTCCTGAGCGAGCCCGTGTCCTCGCTGGCCGCCGCCTACGGCAGCAGCCTGGCCTCGCATGTGGAGGGGAACGTGAGTGACGGGGAAAAATGGGGGAAAATGGGATTAAATGGGATAAAATGGGATAAAATGGGGGAAAAATGGGGGAAAAATGGGGGAAAAATGCGATAAAATGGGGTAAAATGGGATTAAAATGGGGTAAAATGGGGTAAAAATGGGGTAAAATGGGATTAAAATGGGGTAAAATGGGATAAAAATGGGATAAAATGGGAAAAAATAGGATAAAATGGGATCAAATGGGGGAAAAGTGGGATAAAATAGGGTAAAGATGGGATTAAAATGGGAAAAAAATTTGATTAAAACGGGAGGAAAATGGGATAAAGATGGAGAAACAGGGGGGGAAAAAAACCAGGTGAAAAATCAGGAAAAAATGGGGGAAAACCCGGGAAAAAATCGGGAAAAAAATGGGGAATCGGGGGAAAAACTTGGGAAAAACTTGTGAAAATTTGGGAAAACGTTGGGAAATGTGAATTTTGGATTTT